CAACATTTCTAGAAGGAGGAAATAGTTTCATTTTGAACTGTGAATGGCTAACATATTGGCTGAAATCCTGTAGCTTTGTGTAGTAAGAATGCAATAGAGTGGAGGAGGTCCATTGAATCAGTGGGACTTATGGAGGAGTTCACTTACTGAATCCCCACTGATTCAATGAACCAAGTCTAGATGCGACTTACTATGCTAAGCAACAGGAATTCAGCTGGTGCGACGTAGAATTCCAGTTATTCTTTGTCTTCATAAGAAGAGGTAAGAAACAGATTTTGAAATATGGAAGAGAAGTCATGGACATACAGCTTTTTCATCTATCTTCTTGCAGATTCAGCATCTAAAGTCTGCCAATATAATTGTCTTGAGTATTGTAATAGAAAGTTAATCATCACAAGTATGAAATGCCATCAAATCAGGTGCCTTCGGAATGTGCCTTCTTGTGCCTGACTATCTAAAATCCAAACACTTGCAGCATGTTATGTATGGAGACAGAAGATGCTGTGTTCCCCAGGTTCAATTCACATTTAATTCCCCATCCTCCATTGAGACTCTCTAGGCCAGAGAATGTTGTCTTATCAGCTTCCTCAGCTTCAAAAGATTCACTTCCAGAGCAGATACTGTCATTCTTCACCACAGGGGCAGTGGCTGGCAAACTAGGTGGTGGCCCTTTTCAGTGTTCAGAAGCTTCTGAGAGATATTGGGGCAAGCTTTCTAGCTTTTATAAGGCTTGTGTGCTTAATGCCTTTTCCTGAGGTGAGAAGAGTACTCCAGCCAACTTTCACACAGTGATCTGTCCAAGGTGCTGACTTAATCTGCCTCTTCTGTAAACCTGTCTACACTAGATGTAACTGTGCCTTACCTGTCTGGCTCTGACCTTAATAGGCATGACTATCTTGTCTGCTTTTATAACACTGCCCAGCCAGTGTTATAATCTGCTCCTGTTGTGAGCACAAAACCTGTCTGAATCAAGACAAGCATTTTTCCTCAGCTGCCTAATCTCTAGTTATAATGGATTGGGATTCTCAATACCACAGTAGTTGGAGGCAAGTCTGGGAGTTATAGTCCCTCTCATCAGAGGGCATCAGCTTGGGGAAGGCTATCCAAACACATATCAGTATTCTGGGCATGACTGCAGTACTATGGTAGAAAAGCTCTTCCAGAAAACAGTCTTAAAATCTCAGTGAGGCTGAGCAGGATCAATATTCCTTCATAAAATTACAAGGGAGAATGAGCTTTCGGAAGAAGGAACAAACAGTCAAATTTAAAGATGAAAAATAAAACCACTAAGCTTTCTTTCTGCTTCGCATGAAGAGCCGCAGTCACATGGCAGCCTGTTGTGATTGCTGTTGAAACCGAGGTCCAGCCTCTCCAGTGCTGAAGACCTCACACCACCTCACGGAGGGCAATGCTGCGTGAAAGCCATCTCCCAGCATCACGACTGCTACTGTTCGACACAATATTTCCAGCTGCCAAGGCAACAGGGCAGATGTACTAAATCTGTGATGAGCGGGGGTGGAGGTGAGAAGTCTGGAAAGAAAAGCAATTAACAACTTGAGGGAAACTGGATGCCTAGCTTTCTTAACACTGAACAGTGCTCCCTCTGGCACACTTTGGACTTTCCTCATTAAGGCACCTTCCTTTCCGAAAGGCGCCGGTTACCTTCTGGCTGTGGAAGACTACAGCAGATGCACATGCCATAAGGGGCTGGTTCTTTAAAATGTTCACATGTTTTCAGTGACTGTCAGGGTATCAAGGGCAAGAGTATTCATGCTGCTCCCCCTGATCGTGTCCCAGAACATGTTCTGAAAATGCATACTTCAACTCAGCAATACTGCAGCAATGAGAAGACGTTTTATTTGCTGCCAGAGAGTGGCTGGTTTGAATGTCTTTTAGATAAGACAAATATACTGTTTGCTTATGGAATTAAACAAGTATGCCAAGGTTAAGAAATCGTATCTTCCATAATAATTTGATTCTGTGCTTGTCATATTTCCCTGAACTGACAAAAGAATGGTATACATTGTGCAAACCAGGTAGGGTTCTCATATAAAGAAGAATCGGGGGACAAACAAACCATCTTGTTCAGATTAGAACACAAAAGTCCCTCTAATGCCCAAAGGTCTGGAGAGCAGAACGGATTGATGTACATTCATAAAGGCAAGTGTGCTGTTTTGTTTGGCTGTTTTGTTTGGCTAAAGCTGAACAGGCTTTCCTTTCACTCCTTTTATTTGATTATGTCAGTTGTATGAAAAAGCTTGCAAGGCAAAAAGGCTAAAGTTTGCAGAAGAACCTTGCAGATTGCCCCTTTCTACAAAAGCAAAGACACCATTTATCTGCCTTGTTTATGGCAGATAGATGTTGCCTTTCCTTTTGCAGGAAGGGGCAATCTATGCTATACGATATGTGCTTTGCTCTGATCCAATAAGGCACTTTATGTATCTTTAGCAAGAATGCACAATACAGATCATGCCTTAATTGTTAACTAAGTCTTAAGTATACAGTCCTGGTTTAAAAAAATTCAAACACTTTGGACTATGGGTATACCAGTTTTTTGTTTGTTTGTTGTTTGTTTGTTTTAAGGCAGACTAACTAGGGCAATGCTGAAATCACTTCATTCTGTCTTGTGAAAGTTGAACCAAATCTAAACACTTGAAAATCTCAGCTGTGGCTTCATTGTCGTGCAAATTCTTCCTGCAGTCAGTGTGGCAATGGAACCACAATCTGCAGTGGCAAATCACCAGGGATTTTTAACTATTAGGGATACTGACATCACATGCCATCTATCTCAGGCATCTCTATTTCCTGTGGATTTTGCTGCAGCTCTCCAAGTAACTGGGAGGAATTATATTTTTTCTTAGCAACAATATGGAGTTATGTATCATTTTGTGTTGTGATTCACTACTAAGCATTTGGGGTAGATTGCTCTCGGGTGGAAAGTTAAGATTAATTAGCTTGACAAAAGACATGCTTCTGTTGAAGATGAAAACTGGTACTGCTAGTTGGTTGGCATGAATAATCTAGATGCCTGCATTTTTGAACTCTCTTTGAGAATGCGGGTATGGGAACTGCCATGTTTACCACCTACAATGCAACATTTACTATGACAATACTATCTTCAACTGCCCTAAATTCTTTCTGTAAAAACATGCAGTATATTTGGGTGACAATTAATTCTTTTTAAAATTCTTTAAATCACTGAATACAGTAACATGGTTCCTTCTTTGTTATCTTAATATTTCTGGAATGGAAAGAAAGCTGGCTTTAAATTTCAAAAATGAGACTTAGCCTGCTTTGTAGTCTTATAACATGATCAGGAACACTGGGGCTTCTTTCATACAGAGCTTTTAGACTGAAATTTAAATTGACAAGATGCACACAGATGCACCAAGCTGGCAAGTGAATTCATGAACACGAATTCATGCGAGCTCAATTCACTTTGAGATGATTCTGTAAAAATGGTTTGAGCCCGAGTCAGAGTGTTGATGTATAGATTTTTCCTATATGTTGCTGAAATGTCTGTGTCCCCAAACTGAATGGAAAACACAATTTGTGGCCAAGGAGCAAAGTGGTTGTGGAACTGATAATGGTGATTTCAGTCGGGATGTGGTAGTGGCTGCTAGTGGCTCCTAGTAGCCCACAGGGAAGATAGGACTAGCTGGCTGCATCAGGCAAGTGAGACTGGCAGGTGGGCAGGACTGCTCAGAGTGGACTCGAGTTTCCCAGTGGGGGCTGGGGCAGAGCATCAGATGGCAGTCTGGCCAGCAGATGTACGGACTTGCCATCCTATGCTGAGCTGAACCTATTGTAGCTCTAACTGGAAAAGCTATGCCCAGTCTTTATTTCCTACCAGAACAGTGTGCAGTGGCCTTTCCATTTCACTAGCCTGAATTGACACCTGGGTTTATAAGACAGCTTGCTGCTTTTTAAAAAATCTTTGCTAATTGCCCTTAGATTTGCCCTTAGATCTGGCAAATGCTTCCCCCCCTTCTTGTTCTCTTACACACACTCTGTCTCCATCTCTTTTCCTTTTTTCCCTTTAATTTTGTTTGTTGCTCAACTTTTATATGTATTGTTGAATTGTTTTAACCATTTACATTAGAACTATTTGAGCATTTGTGTTCAGTGAGGTTCACTCCTATGCAACTGTATAATGGACTGCATTCTCAATTCATCTTCGAAGTCATCATCGTGTGATATCTCTTGATCAAAATTGCAAGGCCTCCATTATGTTCTTATTGTTGTTGTGTGCTATCAAGTCAGAACCAAGTCATAACAACTCAAACAGGGCTTTCAGGGTAAGTGAGGTATTTAAGTTGGTTTTTGTCAGTTCTACACCACAGTGAGCTTATATGGCTGAATGGGGATTCAAATTCAGGGCTCCTGAGTTCTAGTGCATCATTCTATCTCCTACACCACACCAGGTACCCATATCCATTGTGTACCTTTTCCCCCACACACAATATTAATTTTGCAGAATGAGTTGAGTTTCTTTCCTTTATGCTTTGACAACCTCTTACAGCAATCACAACACTGTTCCTTGACTTATTAAAGCATTTGCTTATTAATGTTGCTTGTTGCTTCTGAACTTTAATTTCAAGTTTTATGTTTTCCATTTGGAATTCTTGGAGTTTGTTATTTTATTTCGTTTTTCTTGAAATGTTGGGGTGGCCAGTGGTTGCAATCCCTTGGAAAGTGGGAGTGTGTATGAGTAATAAAAATTTACCACAATAAGTGAAAAATGTGACATTCTTGGGAAAAGTTCAAAGTATGGGGTAATTCAGAATAAGCAAAGGTACATGATATTGGTTTGAATAATGTGTTTTGATTTCCCATGGAAGAGCTCCACCTAATTGAAATGTGCTTGGTAGAAGAAGGATTTGCTGGATTTAAACCAAGTATTCAAAGACGTCTGCTGACTGTTTTGTCTATACTTCTTTATTGTGTTGCATAACCAATATGCCATTCATCACTTTGTTGTTGTTCTTGTTTCTCTTCAGTTTTCAGGACTTTACCTTCTGTCATTCTTCACAATCCTTGTTGGGCTGGTGCTGTACTCCTCCACATCCACCTATGTTGCCCAGGATCCACGTGTGTACAAGCAGTTCCGAAACCCTTCAGGACCTGTTGTAGACTTGCCAGCCACTGGGCAGCTAGAGCCTTCAGTAACATACACCAGTCTAGGCCAAGAAACAGAAGAAGAACCTCATGTCCGAGTTGCCTAAACTCAGGCCTTTGGCATCCTTGGTGGAGTTTGTATCTCCATTATCTCTGTATCATCCATAGAGAAAGGTATTTACCGGATGCAGTTGCTCAGGTGGACTGCAAGGTAGCAAATAGGGAAGGCTTGTAAAATTACAGACTAAATTGTTGTTAAGCGTATGTGACTAAGAGCAGTAATTCTTGGGCCTTTGCTGTTCTAACTGGAGTTCCTCAAAAAAATGATGAGTGGTTCCTTGATGAGAAGTACAGATATAGTGGGCAAGCTTGCCTGTAGGACAACGTGTTAGCTACCAGGCTTCCATTAGAAACCTATACAGTAGGTCTGTTCTTGAGAGAACACACAGTTTGGTTCACACTGAAGACAAATGCCATGACTGAGCTGAGCGTTCCCTCAAGAAGATGACCATGGGAATCCTCTTCAGTAGACTGGAGTTGCATCGCAAGGGGCTCCACGGCAGATCTTGATGGGAAAAAGTTGAGTGGGGGGGAATTCAAAACAAACAGGATGGGGATGAGCACAGCCTGCTCTGAACAGGCATCTACCTCAATTCTGCTCATGAGTCAGGAATTCCCACTTCTTCCACCTCTGCCCTCTTCCTCAAGGCAAAGCAAAACAAGACAAAAACATATTGCAGAAGGAGGAGTACGTACAAAAGGCAGTGATCATCCTTTCTGTGAGTGCAGGTTCACTTTTTCCCATTGAGGATCTCAAGCTTTGACTACAGATCCAAGGATCCCTCCCAGAAAAAGCTACTCTGAGCATCCATTCTGTCTGAGGAGAAGTGTTCCTAGGTAATGGCAAATAAACATCAGGTCAGACCCCCAGAGACCTTGGCACTTGCGAACTGTGCTCTCTGCATTAATGGGAAAGATTGCCGTTGCCACCTCCTTACCCACCCTTCTTCAATATAGTATTGCCGGCCTGGTGGTGTTGGGGTTGCCTTGTGAGAAGAGGAGAGAAGGAGGGAAGTGGTCCTTAGCTTTTTAAAGTAAGATTGACTGGACAATTGAAAAAGCCAGAGCAACAATGGGAATGCAACCATCCATCCTTCAAGGCAAGCAGCCCTAATGGTAGAAGTTCGGAAAACCATTGACATTGGCAGTTCAAAGTTAATGCAGCAAACGGCAACTCTCAGTAAATCACTCAAAATAATTTGTGACCAGCTCAGAATGCATGCTGAAATTCCCTCACATAGCACCAATATGGTATTTCTGCACCTTTTTTACACTGACGTTGCCTGGGTTTTAGTAAAGCCGCATTTGTACAGCAGGTCCATATGCATGCCGACACTCTTAATGTCTAGTAAGGGTTTGTTTCACATAGCCAAGGCAGGTTAGTCACAATGCCTATACCCCAGTGCCATTTTGTTCATTCAGCTGCCTTCACAACTGGCAGACCAGCCTGCTAAGGCAGACCTTCTCACCTGCTGTGGAGTAGAGATCTCATCATCCTCAGCTATCTGGAGGGTACCCTGCTGAAGATGGCTCTAAAGAACCAAGTGTTCTAGGAAGCCAGGGGATGGACAGTTACCAGTATTCATCTGTATTCTAGGAATAGGTTGGGGAAAAAAACACTTAAAACCTTTTTAAAAAGAAATATTTACAGTTTTGAAGCTGTCAGATTTTGCCTTTTTTACCACAATCTTGCATGGCTGAGATCCTCCATCTGGTGAAAGGGAAATTAATGTCCACATTGGTGTCTTAACCTTGCAGATACAAACTCAATTTCTTACTATTGTCAAACAGTTAAAAGTACATTTTCTATTTTTAAAATTATTTTGGGGTCTTGTAACTAAGGAGAGAGAGGATTTAGCCCTGTTTTTATACACTTTCTGCTTGCAAGGTGAATATGAATATATGTAGCTAATATTGGGCAGAGGCAATTAGTTTCAACTATTAATTAATGAGAATATTCTAGGCTCTTTGAATTTCTTCCTTTTTTAAGAAAAAAGGTATAATTTTTGGGTTTTTTTCCAGTCAGTTATAGCATCTGCCAAGTGGGAATCTCTTGTATTTGCTGTTATTAGAGCTGGTATTCCCAGCTGCACATGCACAGCTCAGTCCTAAACATCCTTACATAAAAGAAAGATGTAAATGAGAGCTCAGATTAAAGTGGTTTAACATTTGTAGCTTTATGGTACATAACAATTTTGCCTGCCAACAAAGTCACAGTGCTGGACATGCCTCTGGCAGTTTGGAATTTCTATACAGGGGTGAAATTCTGTGTTATATATGCCAAGGTATATCACAAAGCTAAAATGAAACTCTTTCTCCTAATGCGAAAGAGCCTCAGAATAACGCATTTATTCCGAAGGGCAGCAGGAAGAAAGGGAACACTTAACCCCTTCCTTGTCAGTGGTTTTCTCCTTAAAAATCCCATCAATGTCACCTATTTGAATGTCCAATACATCTTTATCATTGCAAGGCCATGGCTATTACTAGAGTGTTGGGGAGGAGCCTATCCATGTCATCTGAGTGACGTAGGAACTGCTGCTTCCTCTGTTTCTCTGGTGTCACAGGAACCCTAAAGTCACATGAAAGAGGTTGGTGACTCACATACCAGTTTTGTGCCACCTCCCAGTATGGCCAAGGTCTCAACCCAGCAAAGGGGTCCAACATATTTCTTGTTGTTATCCCTAGTTGTTTGTTGGATTGTGTTTAAAGCTTTTGGTAAGACTAAAGAGGCAATAAGGCGCATAGCTATCTTAAAGCATTTGCTGTGGAGGAAGCCAGAATACTCTCCTGTCTCCCTCCGTGAAGCACAAAGGCAACATATTTCATAGTGCCATAAACAGACCTCTTGTTTATTAGTGTAACAAAAGATATAACATTCTGTTAGCCAGCAATTAAAAATCACAGCTGCAATTCTTGGGAGCAAACACACACACTGGCTTGGCATGTGGTGGCGAAAACAGCAGCAGCTGTTTAATTGTCAGCAGATTGAATGTTGCACCTTTTGTTGCTCCAGTCAACAGGACTTCACCCATAGAATCATGCAATTATAGAGCTGGACAGAGCCCCAATAGTCACCAGATCCAACCCCCTGATGAAGCAGGAAATCCATAGCTAAACCATTCCTGGCAGATGGTTCTTGCCAGCCTCTACCTTCACCAGCATGCCCTTCCATTGTTGTGCGGCTCTTACTGTCAGGAAGTTCCTCCCTCAGCTGTTCCTCACAGAGCTTCATTTCTCTCCCTATGATTTTATTTGGCTCGTCTTGATTTGTGTGCATATGTAGACACTCAGCTAAAAAGAAAGGAGTCACTGATTCTCTAGAGTCCAGTGTCACAAGAGGAAGGGAAGGTAGCAGTGCCTCAGTGATATGAAAGTGTCTCAAGGGATTTCCTTACAGGGAGAAGAGTCAAATAGCTCCATTTATAGCTATTGGGGCTGGGGGGGGAAAACTAATTTTAACTGCCTCAAGGGAAGGGCAGTTCCCTTCCCATTTCAACCTAGAGTGGTCGAAATGACCAGATAGGCGGGGTATAAATAGAATAAATAAATAAATAACATTTGTGTTTGGAAAACAATCATATATTTCCCAAATGAGTTTGAGAGTACCAAGGAACATTACTCTTAATTCTTAGCAAGTGTTCCCAGAGCATTCAAGGAAAAAGGCTTTATTTTTGTTTGTTAAGAAGATGTTAGCTGGAATCCATTCCTTAAAAAAAAAAAGAATATGTCTTCACTGTTGAATAGATTGCTATTTTCTTCTGATGGAGGATGGATCATATGATCCCCTTAAAAGCGTTACTCCTATGAGAAGAAGGGGGAAAGGGTACCATCATGATAAATAAATGGCATAGATTTTAAATTCCGTAACTTTCTGCAAAGGAAACTATGATCCAGATTCACAGGTACTTGTGACCAAGAGTGCATTGCATGCAACTGCTGATTTCTCCAGACATGGACATGGACATTCACTGAGAAACTGGAATAGGAAGGTATACACTATGTTTCTGGGTAGGAGGAACAGTATTTCACTGCCTACAGTTTGCATGGTTTCTACTGTTTATGCAGTAGGCCAGAGTGCCTTTATCTTCCGCTTAACCTTACATACAAGACAAAAAGTGGCAGCTGATATTTTTAGAGTCTTCTGTAAGTTCATCCACTAGGAGAAAGCAACATAGATCATGTGAGTTCTTGGGTATTTTCTAGCTGTATAAGAATTCCAGTGTATTGATAGGTTAGAGTTAAGGTTAGGGCAGAGTTATGGTTAGAGTTATGTTTGTATGCCTTATACAGTATTTGTTAAACTCACTGAGAATTCCAGCAGCCACCCTGAATGGGCTGACCTAATGACAACTTGACTGTGCTTCTTGGCATCAGGTTCACCAAATTATGGCCCAGGAGGGTTTTTATCACAATATATTACATTGATTGGGATAAATGCCATGATGCAATAGATTACACTGACTATGATGAAAAAGGCTGCCAGTGGCGAAAAGGAAGAGATGGGCTGGGTCCATTCCTCCCTTCCCCCAGCCATCTTTGTTTGTAAAAGGTGAAAGATTTATATAATCTGAAGAGAAACCAGAAGACACCAACACTCACCTCCAGGGGCTGAAACTTAGAGGTATGGAATTGCAGCTCTTCAGGTGACAGTGATGCAGAATGCCTACCAAGTGAATCTGATTCTGTAGCAAAATGTGACCCTTGGGAATGAAAACATCACATCCTGGTATGTGAGGGCTATGAGAGAGAGAGAAAATGCTATATCCTGCCTTGCATTTCCCATGAGTCCTTGCCTGCTTAGTCACAGGGGGTAGAATTCACTGCTGAGCTGAGGGCAATCAATGAAATATTTTACAAGTTAAGAAGTGGACCTGGCACACAAACAATGACAAGGAATCATCCTTCAGTCGATGTGCTCACAAATGGGATTGTTTCTTTTGACTGATGATCTGCAGATTTGGGGCAAATGGCTTTCTTGGGGTTCCACCCAAGCCCCCTATCCTTAATTCAGCACTCCATTTATGCTTTAAAGTCTAGCTTGACTGCTGTGCTTAAGCCACTCTTTACAAAGGTTTCAATTCTGAACACACTTGGCTGCACCTTCAAGTAGCATTTGTGTGCATTCAAGTGTAATTGGGACTGGGACCTTAGCGGTTTTCTCAGGTTTCAGATCTGAAGTCTGCTAATGGCCTTTGCCATCTCCAAGCCTTTTTTTGCTACCTTTTATACCAATTAAATACCTTTCTCTGCTGTCCCATGTTTGATCTTAACCATTTCTTGAAGGGTTTGTGTGTTTGTTTCCTGTTTAAGCGCATTCATTTTGCATCATTGTTTTTTGAGGACTTTTATTATTTAGTATTTATTTTGTAAGCCAAATGTTTTTGTAGATTTTCTTTTAAATATCTCATTTTTTATGACACTAATTTGTAGATTTCAGTCTCAGTAGAAACAAACTGGGTGGAAGGCATCCATCCGTCAGTTCACTGACAAGAATTTTAATTGGAATGAGGTTGTAGTCTATGGAAAGTTGCCATCCGGAGTTACTTTCCTGAGATTTCAAATTGCTCCACAGAGGATAGGAGAATGCTCAGCAATGCACTGCTCACCTAGCAAGACTTGTATCTGTGCACATATCACTGAACATATTAACCTATGAAGCTGCCTTATACTGAGACCTTTTGTCCACCTAGCCCAGTAATATCTACTCTGGCTGACAGCAGCTGTCTAAGCTCTCAGGGCAGAGACCTCCCAGTTTGGCTGGGCTCCTTTTTTGAGGGTGCTGGGAAATGATCCCAGGGACATCTGCATGCAAATCATGCATTTGGGTGTGGACCTTCCCCAATAAATGCTGTTGAACAATTAAACTGTAGGAATTGCTAAATTCCACTGTCTCTAGTTAAAGATCCCGCTCGCTTCTTTAAAAGAGGACGCTAGCATAAGTTGATAAAGATTAAATCCTGGAAGAGAGATCCGGAAGAAAATGTTACTTTTTCTAATAGTTCTGTTTCTTGGCATTCCAAGAACTGCAGAGGACACCAGCAAAGAATCCTTCTGTCCAGCAGGTAGCTACAACCACCAGCTAAAAACAATGACTTCATAAGTACTGTATAGCCCAATTCTTGGAATAAAAATGTGTTGAGCTACCTTGTTGGTGCTGACTGGATATTAGCAAGGTATTCCAACGGCGGAATGAAAACTCTAGTGACAAGCATGGTTTTAATTCAACCTACAGACTTAAGAACACAATCGCCAACCGAGCGATTGACATTTTGCAGCACTGTGTCAGAAGAAGACGCTTCAGTGTATAGTTTAGATATTGCTAACTTGTGCCATTAACATTTTCAACAAGTGTGTAGTATTTTCTCTTTTTTAAAAAGGTCATTTTAGTATTCTGCAGCTAGCTATATAAATAAAAATTTTACCCCATGGGTAGGATTTTAATTGTTAAATGCCATAATAAAGCACACTAATGTTGACACTTACAAATGGAAGTAAGAACCAAAAATAAAACAAATGTCCAACAAGGTTCGCTGAGAATGAATTCTCTTCTGTTTTGATATTTGCATGCTCCAACTTGGACTGGCTGTGGCCATGTAATGCCTGTATAATGTTTTCAAATAAAAGAATACATCCTTTATCTAAGCCATGGTTGTGTTTGTTCCAAATCAGGATCAGAAGGACCTTTTCAAATCAAGGGGAAACCAATATTTCCTGAATGAAGATGCAGAAAGTTGTGGCCTTCAGCCTGGGATGGACATCCTTCAAGTAAAGTTGTTTCTTGCCTCAGTAGATGGCAGCATTGATAACACACAATGGCTACTCCAGCCTCTCTCAACCTTTTTTTTTTATTTTTGCCATGGCCATAAAAACAATATGAAAGAAATATAGGCTGAATCAGAATTCTATAAGTTGCATAATAAACCTTATAAGGTGATGTGCGAAAAAATGTGCCAGGAGCCCCACACACACAGAGAGAGACATACACAACCGAGGGACCATATGGCCTCCATAGAGAAAGGCTGTCAACACTGTGTGTTTCCCTGGTAGTTCTTAGGACATTTCCCCACACATTTTTTATTTCTCAGCCCCTTCTTCCGATGACACTCTAGGTCTGTGGAGCTTGCCTAAGGCTACATAGCCTGCCTCTTATCCTGGGAGGCACTATGGGGAAATGAACTCCTGAACCCATGGCTTCAACTCACTGAGCTATACAGGAGGCTTTATTATTCTTTTAAAAATTACTAGGTGCAATGTACATCCATGACCATTAGAGGGGGCTGTTTGTTTTAAAGACACCTGGTAGCGGGTAGTTTTGTTTAGAGAAGAAATCAGCCAATGTTTCTTGATTCCAGATTCCTGGGTGTAATCTGTTACCTAGGTACCTGCCAATGATTCATTTAGCTACAGGCACCACCTTCAAACTGGGGTTAAAGTATAGTTCTAGTGGCCACGGCTTCAATTGGACGTCTCTGTTTCTTCTCCTGTCCTCTGCTTCTGTACCAGGTAAACTCCTGAAGAGCAGAGGTTTGCAGACTTTTGTGGTATTTTGTTTGGGTCTAAGAAAGGTATCGCTTAACGGCTGCCATTTTTCTGGCTCAGCACAGCTGCCTTTGCTTTTTGGTAGCATGCACTCATCCTCTTTTTTTTGTCTTTAAGCCAAGAATGCAAAGAAGTCAGTCTTTTGTTTGCATGTGTGAAGATAACACGGCAAAGCAAACAAAGCTGACTAAACAGTCTGCCATTTTGTTTATTAGATGACATCTATAATCAGTTGGTGTGTTCCTTCTAAAAATGACACTGTCTTCATTGCAACCAGAAATACTTTTTATGGCTTCAGAAACATTCCTATCTGGATCCAGAGGACTTTGAGAAGTATCAGGTGTTGGGTCGTCTTCGTGAAGGCTGTGGTGAGAAACTCACTTCTAGATTTCCCCTGCTTATCATAGATCACGTTTTATAAATGGAAAACTGTATCATGTGGAAAGACTATTGAATAACTGCCTTTTTCAAATCAAATTTTGGAAATACTAAAACCAGAGTGCTGGATACAGATATGCAGATAAAGATGTATATCTTTTATTGGGCTGACTTTTGTTGGAGGGGTTGTGAAATCTCTCATGTGTAAAACTCTTTCATCAGTTAAAAAAGCAGAAAGTAAAGCAAAGGCTGTTTCAGTTGATAAGACAGAAATCTTTCAGAAACTACCACTGGACATTACCACTTCAAATAATTTCTGATAAAAGGAATCAGCAGCAGGAGTTATTTCAATTAATTTCCATCCATTTACCTTCCAATGGGAGGAAAGGATTTAAGTGAAAATTCCCCTGGCAAGGCATTTAAAAATCAACTTCTTTAAAATCTTCTGTTTTACACTTCACCTTCACAGTGACCTTGCTGAAAGAGAATGAGAAAAACAAGCCAGGTTTATGCTGGTGAAACATCTGTGCACCAGGCCAGTGATGGTGGTTTGGCTGCATTGCCCACACAAAAGAGATCAGCTACTCCACTTGCACAGTCTCCTGCTGGAATTGCATGGTGGATGCTTGCCAGGATGCAGGCCTGCTCTCAAATCCTGTGCAGAACACAGAGAGATGTCAGTCTGTTGCTGCAGAACAGATGCCGTCTGCATGTGAAAGGGCTCAAATACTAGTAATCAATTTAGGATGTGATCACATGGCGGAAATAGACTGCAGTTCAGACCACTTGTGGAAATCGTGTCATCTGTGTCTTTGCAATCACATGACACTTAAGGAAACACACTCCAACGTCACCCGGATCTGTCCTTCTGGGCTTCTACTTTTGGGGGATTAGGCAGAGATGATTTTTCAGAGGGGAAAAGGGTCACCGTAGGAGACTGCTCAAAGCAACTCTTTCTGGTGCAATCAAGTAGTAACCTTTCCTGCCGTCTGATAACAGCCTCAATTACACATCCATATGTAGGGCTTTTCTGTCAAGGCAGTATGCATGGCTCCCCTCCCTCCCCTTTATTCTCACAACAATCCTGTCAGGTTGGTCAGGCTGAGGGAAGAGTAATGGGCCAAAGGTTATGCAGTGGGTTCCATGGCTGTGCAGGAAGAAGAACCTGGACGTCCCAAAGCATAGTGGAGTTGGTGTTGCGAGCAAGTTGCTTTTTGACTTAGGCTTGTTTCATCTTTTGAAAACTAGGGCTGTGCTTCACTTCTCCAGTCATGATCGGAATTATGTATGCCACCGCCACATCATGGGACCTGTGCATTTCTGCAGTTTGCCTGCTGCTTTTCTTAGTGCAGTGAAAGCAGCAAGGAAAACTAGCTGCATACCAGTATGTTTTTATCGATGTAAGCCGCCCTGAGTAGACATAGTCTAGAGGGGCGGGGTAAAAAATCTAATAAATAAATAAATAAATAAATAGATAGACAGACAGACAGACAGACAGAGAGACAGACAGACAGACAGACAGAGAGACAGACAGACAGACAGACAGAGAGACAGACAGACAGACAGACAGAGAGACAGACAGACAGACAGACAGATAAATAAGACTGTAGAACCATTTGGCAAGATATTGCAAATTCAGTCACAATATCATGTGAAGAAAGGGGATGGCACAAACTCCTGCACTGGCTTTTTCAGTGAGTCTTTGTCCAAATACACTGGCCTCAGTCTAGTCATTTTACATTTCTAGCAAGAGTTCAGGCCTGATTTGATCCAGAACCTATTCATTTGTCTTTCTGATAATCCATGGTATCTGTGAAACTCCCCTCCAGCGTGATATTTTGAATGAACTGATTGTTTTCCTGTCAGCTTTCTTCATTGTCCAGTGTTCACATATATAAAATGCTGTTTTATTTTTGCTCCATCAAATTTATACACCAACATCCCCCATCAGCATTTTTTTTCACCTGATGTTACAAACCAGAGCTGGAGTTCATTTTAACAGCATAATGCAGAAAAATCATATAGAACTGTTCCAATGCCAAGAATAAAAACCCTGACAACCTGTGCCTCCTAGACACATTCTCTGAAAGTTCATTTTATTTCAATGGTCTTTTAACTTGTTGGGGGTTGGAGTAAAAGATTCAAGTCCAGTTCCCTTACCAAGCATGACCTCTTATAATTGCTCTCTCTAAGGTGACAAGGTGATCCACATTACCAGGAACAAATGTTGATCATTTTTAATCTGTTTTAATCAGTATTGTACTTCATAGGTATCTATTTCCATTGCGAGGGGGACTCACAACTGTCAGAGATATCAGGAATTGGACAGGGAGTCACAGATGTTCAGACATAACACAGAGAAACCTGTAGGTCATCGCTCTCTAGCATCCAGCTAGATGTTAATCCAGCTGTGCGGATGAGTATCAAGCTTTTTTTAGACAAGTTATGTGCCTCTACAATAGTCTCCTACAGTGTAGTCCATACTGTTGAATGTCCTGCTCCATTGAAAGGGGCCAAGGACAATCTTCTCTAATCTCCTTTCTAAAAGGGCTAATCCATTCTATACATTTACAGACAGACAGACAGACAGACACAGGTGGGAGGGAAGAGTTCCAGATTCCTTGCCACTTTTCTGACCAGAGCAGAACACTGAATTTACTACAAATGAATGGTTACTTAAGCTGAACCCCAAAATGCAGGGGGATTGTAAGTATCTATTGAGTTCCCATTAATGCTACAATGACAACTCTTTTCCCTATTAGTGGTGCAAACTGCTGAATATACAATGCATTGTTCTTAATAGTCTGTGGGGCTGGCATTTATTAAATGTGGAACTATGACACATCTCATGTGTGGCAACGGTTCAGCTGCTAATAGAAATTTCTCTTGTTTACTTTCCCTATCATCCAGTTTCTTAGCGTTTCTTTGCTGGTCTATACAACAGATCAGCAGATCAATCATTATTATGTTTTGCCTGAAGAGTCACAAATGGCAAATGTATGAAACAGTCATGAAAATTGGAATAACAACACTTTTCTTGAGAAAACACACTGACTAAAAATGTTTGCATAAGTTAGTGTTGTGCATTTCATTTTAGACCTTTTATAACAATCTTAGTATTGTTGTAACAATTGTTATATATAACAATCTTCTATTAATGTTAGTCCTTTTCCAGTGTAACACAAGCAGCATCATTGTTAGAAGTAAATTTGATTGTTTTGTAAGACAACACAACAGTTTTGGGTGTTGGCACATGACTAAGATGCAACATGCAATTTCTACAATGACTTCATAATCTGGGGCAATTGACCTCTCAAAGTTAGGCTGTGTGTATCACTACACAACAAGAAGCCGGCTAAGTGTCTCAGTTCCCATCACTGTCCCCCTTTTCAGCCTCCTAGTTACATTCCATCGGGGGCGGGGGAAGAGTGGTAAGACTATTCCATCAGAGCTAGTGAGAGTCCAGCTACATTCTGCTCTTGAGAAATGGCAGCTCCAGTTCTGAGTGTCACATGGAGTGCATCCAGGGGAGAGCAACCAGAGTGGTGAGGGATCTGGAAGCCTATGAAAAACAGAAGGCTAACGAGGGACATGTCTGCAAATATTTCAAAGGCCATTCTACTAAAGCAGATTTGGTCTCTATGATTCCAAAAGGTAGGATTCCAAGGAACCCTGGCTGGAAATTGCAGGGAAGGAAATTTCAGCCAAACATTTGGAGAAACATCCACACAAGA